GCAGACATCGATAAGCGATCAGCACAGTGAATTCTATGTGCTATGGAAATAATAAATATGCACGCGTCGCGAACGCATACGAAAAAAGAGAAATAAAGACCTAAAGAAATTTTTCTCAATTTTTAATACGTCCTCCGCATATCTCTTAAGAGAAAAGTTGAATATACTTAAAAGCTTAAATCCTATTAATCTTAAACATTGTTAAATAGTTTCTCTGCTTACAGCCTTTCTGGATGTCCACAGAAGGATAAATTAACTCCAGAGAGTAAGTACGCTTCTATTAAACTAATTACTTCTTATTGTAGCTAGATAGTGCATCTTCTTTTTGCGAGAGTGTCTTTTTCTTAACGAAGCGAGGAAGCGAAGAATGAATCATTGTTGTGGGTTATTTAAATTCTGAAGACATTTTGTAATTAGTCAACCTTCATCAATGTAAATAATGTAATTAAATTTAAATTTATTCGAAAATTTTTAATTGCGATCATACTACAATAAATATCCTGCTTCCAAATATCATACGTATTTTTTTAAATAATGTTTGCTTTTGGGATACAACTGGAATGTTCTATCTCTAATTTGGCTCGCTTTTTCTCCAAAACCATTTTCGATCAGCCTCGTCATCCACAAAAGGCCATTGTTCCCATTTCCATCGCTTCCTCGCCTCATTAAACGCAACAAAAATTGTATCTTCGATACACGAAGTCAAATTAGAAAGAGAAAATGGATATTTTTCAGCAATGAACGCGGGTGCACGCGTCGCGCATATGCGTGCTGTGCGCGTGCGTTTGCGTGTGTGTGTGTGTGTGTGTGTGTGTGTGTGTGTGTGTGTGTGTATGCGTGTGCGTGTATATCTGTCTGTTGTATATATTCTTTGCGCTTTTCCTTTGCGGGGTAGAGAGCTTTATTTATTGCGTTTCTTTTCATTTTTATTATTTTCCGTTCTGTTCGTAGTTCATTATATAGTAGAGAATTATATCACCACACTCTCGAACTTGGTTGATACTGGTCGTGCCTATGAACCCTCTGGAGAACTCGAGACACGGGCGGCGCGATGGGCCCGGCGTATGCGCACACGTCGGACACTTCACACACGGAGGACACTTGTGCGATTGAGTATAATTACGCAAAGAATTATACGGATCATCCAGCTTCCCATCGACGTGCGAGTTTCCGCAACAACAGATTCCGTCCCTCCCCCCGCCGCCCCTCCCCTCTCTCTCTCTCTCTCTCTTTCTTTCTTTCTCTCTCTCTTAAATGACAAATCGAGCACACAGAACGAAACGTTTAGCCAACTCGTGTAATGCAAATGTGCGTACAATCACATAATTTTTATT